AAATTTACAAAAGCAAACCGGAAGACTTGTAAAAAGTGTTCCGGTACACTTTTCCTTCATATCGGAACTCTTAAGACAAGTGTTCCAGTAATAATACTACCAAACCGGAAGACATGACATATAGTCTTCCGGAAGATTTCTACGTAAAACTCAAACCGAAAGTCTTTGTTACCTCCTCCGGTACATATTTTGTATAAACCGGAACTCTTAGCCAAAGTCTTCCGGTTTGGAAAAAACAACATACCGGAAGTCATTTTAAAAGTGTTCCGAACGACTTGATGGGTGAATTTTTCGAAACTCTGAAAATCTGACAGGACAGTAAAAAGTAAAAAAATAAAATAACAAAAAATAGACAGGGATAAAATTGGTATCTTTTTAAAAATGTAGGGGTATGGGTATAATTGTAGGGGTATTGGTAAAATTTTCTAATTCAAATTATAACACGAATAAAGATGATAATTGGATATGAATAAAATGGATACCTATAAAATATAGATATGTAAAAATTGGAAATGAATAGTAAAAATTGAAAATGAATAATAAAAATTGAAATTGGAAAGAATTGGATATTAATGGATATTGAAATGGATTTTGAAGAAAATGTATATGAATATTGAAAAGTGAAGGAAAATTGTAAATGGGTCCAAATTAATATTAACACCTTCAACAATTAAATCACACCCTTGACTTACACTCTTCAAATTTGAATCGAGACCATTGACTTTGTCATTAAACCTAACTTGGAATAATTCTTGACTTGAACCAATAATAAACACACATGTCTTAACTTTCCTTAGATCAATTCCTTGAATTTGATATTCTTGAATCAATTCTTGAAATATGATTGCAATTATACCAAACCTTGAATTAATCTTGTAGTTATTTTGAATAAGCGGCTTGCCTGTCTTGACTAAGTCTTGATTCCTCTGGCACACACCTGAGCTTAAACAACTAGAGCAAGCAACAACAAACACATATTTTTTAATTACTTTGAATTTGTCTGAATTAATATCTAGGAAAATAAATCCACAAATGAACACAGTCTAGACTGATGGCCTCTTGATCATGATAATTGTTTCGGACTGGCCCAATGGCTAGACATAGCCTAATCCACTTCTGCATCCAGAACGACCCAATAGTTTAAGCTCTGCTAGTTGAGGGCAAAGGAAATCACTTTTTCTCCTGCCCCTCAGTCGAGGAGGGCTGACCAACTGACCCCCAAGATCAGTTACCTTTCGTCACATCTCTGCCCGTCACGCACGGTTCAACCATCCAGGACGGCCATAACGCGCTTGCCCCTAACCACGCCCCTGCTCGAAGCAACGACTAGTTTCGAGCATGCTTGCCCGTCACAACGGCTAGTTTCTGGCAGTTAGCTATTTTTGGGGAACGAATGTCCAAATCCAAAAATAAGAACCAATGGCCAAGTGCCATGGCCATATAAATACCTTCTCATTTGAGAGGGTCAAATATTCCAAAATCACCCTAATACATTCTTGCTTTATACTTGTCTTCTCTTCTCCCAATTCTTACTTTGACATCAGAGCGCCTTGCAGGTACACCCCTCCTCCTTGGATTCCAGCATCGAAGACGAAGTCTCTGGCCTACTTCAGGTTCTGATCAACCGGAAAGATCAGTGGCGCCGTCTGTGGAAACTTCTGTTCTCCCCGTCTTTCTTTCCCCAGAAACCAAATATCAAAGCAAAATTTCAAGATTTAGATCATGGTCAGACATGATAACATTAACGATGCGCACAACACTATCATCTTCCCTGTCAACAAGACAGACAACGACGGGGCAAATCTCTTTCTTGGACACGATGTTCCTCAGCAGATAGACGAAGTCACTGTTTCTCCCTCCCTGAATCGCGACAACAACGTAGAGATCCAGTACTTAGAGAACCATCAACCCATACCGGTTCCGCCCAACGCCGACCCGACCATGGCAACCCTGGTCTAAGTCCTTAACCAGAAGAACCTTATGATCCTCAAACAGAATGCAAGAATTGGAGCATTGGAATAGATTCTCCGTCCAAGATCTCCTTCATCAAGGTGCGAGCACCAGAGATCTCAGAGTCATTCTCCTCGACGCAGAAGAAATTTCCAGATGCCAGAGGAGCCAAAATCTCTGCCAATGAGGAAACACAACCATACTCCTCCCCGAAACAAGCACTCCCTAGGGTCCAAGAGAACAATAAGAGATCTGCGAGTAGAAAACCAACGTTCACATCTGCCCAGACCTAAGGGCCTGTCGTGAGACTTATGCTAGCGATGACAGCTTCATACTCAGATTGGTTTTTGCTGGCTTTGAACTCAAACCTCCAGAATTTCTCTATCACGAGGTCGTCTGGTTCCTCTAACATTATTTTGATGCCACTTACTTTCAAGTTTGAAGTGCCATCTATAGATAATACCCATATCTCGGGAGCCTCCTCACCCACTAGATAACAAAATTATTCTAAAAAGTCAGCTAAAACATGTGATTTAATACTCCATATGGGCATGCATTGGATGTCATACGCGGATAACTCAACCAACCATGATACCATTCCTTATACAAGGTAAGGCTTCTTCAGAACTTTGTGAATTATATATTTAGTTTTAATCATTACGTGATGTCCTTGGAAGTACAACGTGAGTTTCCTTACATTTATCAAAATCACCAGAGTCAGTCGCTCAATTTTATGATACCTTGCTTCCGCGCCTTTGAACACCTTACTTGTGAAACATATGACTTGTTCAGTTTCGTCCTTCTTCTCGAAGAACACATAACTCATCGCCTGGTCGATGACTGAAAGGTGAAAACAGAGAGTTGTGCCTACTTCTGGGCATGTTAGTATGTCTTTTGTAGCCTGAAACATCTCCAACTTAGTGAACGCCACCTCACAGTCACTCAACCATTTAAACTTCTTTTTCATTTTCAAAATGGAGAAGAAATGGAACGCTTTTTAACATGCACATGAAAGAAATCGAGTTAGGGAGGAGAATCACCCTATTAGTTATTAAACCTTATTGATACTAGAAGGGTTCATTATGTTCATGATAGTCTAAAGCTATTGGGTAATGGGTACATATCCTTAAGGAAGACGACATTCATATTGGTAAAATTGACGCACATCCGCCATTTGTTTGAAGACTTCCAAACCATGATCACATTAGCCAATTAGGTTGGATATTTGATTCCTGTTATGAGCTTGCACTCTTCAACTTCTCAACTTCCTCAATGATCGACGCCTATTTCTCCTCGGCTAATTTGCGCTTTCTATGAGATATAATTTTCACAATGGATTCAATGGAAAGGTGATGACAAACCACTCTAACATCCATTCCCAACATGTCGGCGAGCGTCCAGGAGAACAAGTCGACATTCCTCTTCAACATGGCGACCAACTCCTTTTCTTCAGCTTCAGACAGGGAAGTGCCTAACTTGATGACTAGAAAATATCGTGGCCCAATCTCGACCTCCTTTAGATCCTCTGTAGGGGTGAGCCTTTCGTTCCCCGTCTATATCCTAGGGTCTAAATTTGCAGTCATTACCCCTTGCAAGCCTAGCAATAGAGGGTGAGTGCAACCATATATGCTCCTCTTATTTCAATACTACTATAATAACATTCTTGAGAATTTGCTTGGTCCCTGCAAACTACCCTGATCAACTCGTTGGTTAACGGGTATTTCGTGCTCAGATGCAAGGTTAGGAGGACAACCACAAACAAGTCAAGGGAAGACCGCCCCATGATAATGTTATGCAACGAATGAGCCTCTACTATGTGATACTCGACCTTGACCGTCTTTGAATTTTCATCCACTGAGCTTCAATGACACCATGTTGACTATGGGATAATTATTATGAGGGTGGATATCAGCGACGTCTCTACTAGAGAAGATGATTCCAGGTTCTGACTCCTTCTTAAAGTTTTGTTTAGAGCTGACGAGTGCGTCGTTCATCCCTAGAACCTGTCGAGTGTACTTTCCGCGAGAGGAGTTGGATTTTTTCCCTCTTGCAAACCATATATATATATATATATATATATATATATATATATATATATATATATATATATATATATATATATATATATATATATATATATATATATATATATATATATATATATATATATATATATATATATATATATATATATATGGTGCTAACAGACACGTATATGTTGGTAGGTGTTATGGTGCTTCATTTTTCCACCATGTTGAAAAAGGCGACTGTGGCAGTTGACGAATGAAAATAGAAGTTGTCCAAGTCAGATTTACCAGATTCCCATGGTAGGCATTAATCGTACTTGCTAAAAAGTACAATTATGAGCAATCCCTTGTTGTGTAGGGTTGCATGAGAGTTTAGGGTTTTTGACAGTGTTTAGGGTTAGCTCACGCAAGGTTGTGAGAAGCTCTTTATCTGATATTCTCATGTGAGATTAGAGATCCATTTCTCATTATAAGAATGAGATGTATATAGAAGATCCTTTGGGCCTGAGCTAGAGAGTCAAAAAGTACTTTGTCTCATCTTTGTGATAAAAAATATGGTAAAAGAAGGCTTATTTTCTCTAAAATCACGCGGAGCAATTTACCTTCCTTAACTATTTCCAACCAATTATTGCAGGGATACGCCATCTAACATATGGCCCAAACCCAATCCAAATGACTTGTGGCATACTCTCGATGATATGTGCTATTATTTTGAACAACCTACGTTACTATTTCGAGAAACCTACGACGTTGTTTGATAGCTCGCCCAACGCCTTAGTGTGTACTTGTCCTATTTTCTTATCTCTAATAACATGATTCTGATACAAATAAGTTTTGGTGTTTTTAATTGAAATTGACTATAATTTAAAATTAAAATTTATAGATTTATCATTCAAACTTAATTTTGACACATAAATTTATTCTTAAACTCAATTTTAATCCAAATAAATTGTAAAAAATTGCAATCCATCTATTTGTAGAACCAAACACAACTTGTTCCATTGAAATCAAGTGAGTTGGGGCATGAATGTGGTCATGTGTGAAATGCATTCTCCCACGTGCAGCACCGTCATTTCATCTTTCCACCACCTTAATCGCCGGAGAAACATTCGGAACCCTAGCATATTACGCGCCAAATCCTCAATTCTCATTCCCAAACAGGACTCCAAACTAAAGGATCCCTTATCAGACTCCGCATCTCGACGCCTCATCCTTCTTCGCCATGCCGAGAGTTCTTGGGAACAAACTGCTCTCCGCGGTAAAACAAAACCCCTTCGTTTTTTCGGGAATTAAATTGTCAAACTTTATTCAATTAGGAACATCTGTGTTTAAGGAATTGTAGTGGAAGAAATCTGTGTTTAAGGAACATCTGTGTTTAAGGAACATCTGTGTTTAAGGAACATCTGTGTTTTTTGATTTCATTGTTGTAATTGGAGGAAATTTTTTTTTGGTGCAGACCATGACCGGCCACTGAGTATGTCAGGTAAGGAAGATGCTGTGAAAGTTTCTCTCAAGCTCCAACAGTTGGGTTGGATTCCTGAACTTATACTGTCTAGGTTGGGAATTTTGTATTGTGACATTGAATTGAGTTTGCTGTTTTTTTTAAGGTTATTAGGAGGGGTGAGTTTGCCTTTGAGATTATTTGTTGATTTCTGTTGCTTGCTGCAGCGATGCGGTGCGTACTAAGGAGACACTTAAGATAATGCAGGAGCAAGTGCAAGAACTACTGGAAGCCGAGGTTCATTTTGTTTCTAGTTTCTATTCCATTGCGGCTATGGATGGGCAAACTGCAGATCACCTTCAAAAGGTTATTTGTAAATACTCAAGGGATGAGATATTAACTGTCATGTGAGTATCTGAAGATTGTAGCTAGCCTTTTATGGTGATTTCTAAATTCATTTTTGTCTGTGTTTGAAGTCGGAGGTTGAATTTGTCCCTTGTCTAGAACCCAAATGACTTATGGATACAAAAAACGTGGCTATAATCAATACTTTAAGTTAATGCTATATTTGCAGAATAGATTTGATACAGTTGAGAAATAAGAGATCAAATATGGAAATCCAGTGCAATTACAATTGGCATCTTTACTTTTTGCACTCCTTTTATTTTGATATTGGGTGGTGTGCAGGTGCATGGGGCATAACAGGGGGTGGGAAGAGGCAGCTTCAATGCTTTGCGGGGCATCTGTAGAATTAAAGACGTGCAATGCTGCACTGCTTGAGACTGCTGGGAAATCTTGGAACGAGGTTTAATTTCGTTACTTGCACAACAGTGTAGAATAGTATCTTCTTTCAAGTCAAATTCAAAATGTCACTTATTGTGTCTTGTGTGCTATATAATAATGATAAACTCTGTTTTATGGGCTTCTTCTGCAAACTATTTATGCACAATCAAATTATCTTCTAATATAGGAGTTTCTTTTGATATTTTCTGACAAGATTATAAATTTAGTGTCAAAAAGTTTTCTGCAGAACATGTTTTTGAAGGGTTTTTCTTTGTGCTTGACCGGTAAAAAAGTTCTTATCCCCCTAAAAAATGTGTTAGCAGTGAGTATATTCTTTTTGGAAAATTTACTAGTAGCAGGACGCATAATATTTTAACATTCGACATTATCTCAAATTCCACATCACAATAGGAAAATTCATAGTAGATGAGGAATCTATTCATGACCCTTACCTAACTGTTTCAACTTTTAGAAGAGTTAGTCTTCACCATTTCTAATAGCTTTTAACATGGATGAAATGTTCCTATTCATTGATGTATAGATTCATATGTATTTGACTAAGCATCATGTATAGTTATTTTTATTTTTATTTTTGGTTTTCACCACCAGTATCCGGCCCACTGGACCGACTAATCCGGTACGTAGTTCTGGCATCAAGTGGTTCCAGCCCCCTCCCAATCGCATTTGCGGGGGATCAAACCGTAGTTCTCCCTACCAATTCCAGCGCCAATAGAGAAAAAAATGGAAGTTTTTACAGAATTTTTTTCTTTTAACAGCTTAAGTTGTTTTTCAATGTTAAATGACTCTTGTCAGTTAATTATTGGGAAACTTGGTTATAGAATTCTATTTCTACCACAAATGATATAATGGTTTAGGAATTACCTTCTGACCTCTAGCTTTATGTACTCACTATTCGTTAGTACCTGCATTCTTATCGTTTTTAGCATCTTTCTTGTAAAACTTAGTTCTAGTAGCTTCAATTACGTTAGGGAATGCCTTTTGCTTGTGGTCATCATTTGCTCAAAACTACTCTATCGCCCTTATCTGATTAGGCCCCCAAGCTTTGATATTTTACCTTGTAAGTCTAAAATGAATCCTTATTAGTGTAACTGAAATCTTAGACAGGTAGTCATTGCTTGCAGGAACCTCCATAAATTAGATTCTTAAACCAGTGGCTGTTATGATTAACGCCTACCCTAAGAGAGGATATTAATATCACTTTGCTGATGAAATATATTTTTATGATTGTGATCACCTATCCTGAAATAATATTTGAAACATAATAGTTGCACATCACTGCGGTGATTGAGTAATGTTTTAAGGAAAAATATTTGATTTTCAACCGAGAAAAAGATGTGTATCTAACAGTATCTTACAGGCATTTGCCGCAGCAGGATTCGGTGGGTGGAAGCTTCAAGGCATATTAAAACCAAGTAGCTAGCTAGTCAAGATTTCCATACTTGGTAATTTTGTTAATGTTTGCTCAAAAGATAAAGTTGGAAGCACCATTGCTTATTTTAGGAATCCAAAGCGCCTTAATTTGGTCAAGGGTCGATGGCTACAGAGCTGATGACAAGAAGAAGAAAAATACTGGATGGAAGATGGAAACTGATGAAAAAGGCTTGATTTGGCAGAGCTCATCCTTCATTTACTGCTTAGTATAGTACATAGAGCATATAAGTTCATTGAATTGGACTCATGCTCTACTCAGTTGTTGTGTTTAACATACACAACTTCATGTTTCAAAAGAGAAAAAAATTGCTTTCCTATATCATGCAGATGTTGTTACATATTGCTTTACCCTCATTTCACTCTTCTCTTCTCATAAACAATCATCTCAAATATTTACTCTTTTAAAATACGACTTGTTTTAGTGGCTAAGATTTCAAAAAATGTTTAAAATATAAACTATTGAGTCACTTTTCTTAAAAATTATTTTTAAGAGATATCTTTTTAAGAAGTACACAAATTTTGTATGCTAAAGATCTCTAACAATAAATCTGTAAATTATTGAATGCTAAAATTATTTTTATTTTTGTAACAAATGAGTTTGAAATACTAGCATCGATTATTTTTGAATAAATTTTCATAAATCTTTTAAAAGAACTATAAAGTTAAAACCATCATTTCTTTTAATTCTTCTTGTCACAAAATAACTTCTCTAATATGACATTCATTATAGTGATAGGCATGAAGGGAAAAAAAAACGATAAAAAATTAGAAGACTTTTATTACAATGGAAGCCTCATTAATACTACGTATAATTGCTTTAGAGAAAATCTCTGTAAGTAACTAATTATATAATTAACTAACTTGAACTAATAACATTAGAGTAGCAGCCTCACTCAAAATGGATTATATGTCCCAACAATCTAAGTTTGTGCATCAAAATTGAGAAAAGATTAAGATGGAGAGGTTTTGTGACAACATTAGAAATTTGGTTTAAGGAGTCAATTGGCATGAGAGATGAATGACATGTTCTTGCACTTTATTTTATACCAAGTGATCCATCTCTTTGTTTTGTACTTGTGTGAAGAGGTGTGCTATTTTGACACCCTATTCTTATACACGGTATGTTACGCCGAATAAAATTATAACACAAAATGTTCTTGCACAAAAATCAAAGCAGTATAAATTATTAAAGAAACAAAATTTATAGTCTCTTCTCTTTTTGGTTCTTCTCACAGTCCAAGTGTACTTCAGTCTCCTTTTAACATGAAATAGATTTTTAATAATGTTAGATATTATGACAAGACTATTCCAGTCTTTCTATACAGACTCTAACAAGCACACCAATAACTACCTCTTGAATTTTGCAATAAAGTAAAATAAGAGAACAATCATCCCTTAATCAATCTCTTGCTTCCAATAATCCTGGACAACAACGAATAAAATTTTACAATATTAAATTCAACAATCTTGAAAATAAGATGTAATAAGCAAAAGAATTAATTCTAAATTTTGTATGAGAATTTGAAGTTGATCTTCAATTATCAATCTAAAGATTGATCCTCTTCTTGAAGAAGCAATTCTCTCGATGAATATACAAGTGATCTTTAATGAGGGAATGAAACTTGAATGAATATTATGAAATTTTAATGCAAAAGTTTCACTCTTGAAAATTCTGGTTTGAACACTTAGAGAAATTTGAGACTTTTAGAGATGAAGAGAATGTTTGAAAATTTATGCAAGAAGTTGAAGTTAGAAATATGAAAATATGAATTTATATAGGCACAAGACACCCATACAAAAGAGTGTCATTAATGGAATGATGACATGCTTCGTAAAACCAAGTTTGAAAATCAACATGCTAAAAAAACAAAGTATTTTTACATATTGTTTCAGGGTTAATCGATTAACCCATTTGCAAAGGCAAATGGTTAATCGGTTAACCACCTCCAACGTGCAAAAATTTGAAGTTTTGAACGGTTAATCGATTAACATGTTTGAACTATCAAACGGTTAATCGGTTAACCAATGTTAAAAACATAAAAATGCTTTAGGAAAAAGTGTAGCATACAATGGTTTTCTCAAGCAATTGTTTTAATGAAATATGACAATTAAGATTCATTATTTTGAACACTTGTATATGCAAAGATAAGATGTGTTCATATACCTTAATTCATGACCAATCTTTTAGAATCTTCAAGACTTTTTGATGAACTTGAAACTTGAAAGCTTGATACTTGTCTTGATCCATTCCTTTTTGTCATTGTCAATAGGTTGCATAATATTGTTGTCTTCATCAAAACATATATAATTGAGAATCTTGATTCTTCATTCTTCCCCTTTTTGATGATGACAACTCTTTTCTTGAAAAGTTTGGTTCCAACCTTTGTGTTCTCTAACAAGCAATACTCTCCCTTGATAAGAGCTCCCCCTAATCCAAGTTTAAGATTTTTAAAGGTATTTAACTTGCTGCAAATTTTTGTTAGAGAAACAAGACAACAATTCTAGACATCTTCTCCCCCTTTGTCATTACCAAAAAGGAAGGGAAGAGACTATAAAAATGAAAAAAAAAACCACAATATGTATGAACTTTGAAAAAAAACATAAGTAAAACATAATTTGTTCATACACTAAATGAACATAACACACCATAACTTCAACAAAAAATAAACAAGGCGTTACAACAAACATTAAACGAAAAGATAACATAAGTTGACATAACACCACATAATTCGAACAATGAAATAACAGTAAACATAGTTTTAAAACAAGAATACTTAAAAAACTTAACGAAAACATAATAAGACTACAAGCATGAAATTATTCACTTTTCATCATATTGGTTTCCTCGTCTTTCGCTTCCTCCTCATCTTCACTTTCTTCCACCCTAGGTTTACGTCGGTGAGATTTGGTGAGCCTAAGCAATATTTTCTTCATGGAAGTCATCTCGAAAGTGTATTCTTGATGATTCTTTTGCATGGTTTCCTCAATGGATCACATTTTGTTATAAATGGCTTCATCTGTGTAGCCACCTTTCGAAGTCGGCGGAGGAATAAATTGAGGAGCATCATCCTTGTAGACAAACCTTTGTAGCACCCTAAAATTTGCCTCATCGTTTCTTGATCAACTGGCTTTTGTTTCTCTTTATTTTTTCATTTCTGCATATCATGGCATTGGTTCTCGAGGCATGGGATCAAGGTATTTCTATGACTCAGGGGTCTTTTTCGTTGCAAGAGTTTAAACAGCGAGTGCTAGAGGCTTCAGCATTTATTTTGTCTAGCAATCGAGTGACCGATTTTATTTTTATTCAGCAGGTTATTTTCAGCACAAGAGACAACTCACAGGTTATCCCAAGCATTCTCACAATTATAATATTCAAGGGCAAGTTTCAGAGGCTTTAAAGGACTCAGAACGAGTGAAAATGGACGAATGTGCAAGTTTCCCTCCAAATGGCGCTATTTTTGAAAATTTGTGAGTAGTTAACTGATTAACCATTTTGCACTAGCAAATGGTTAATCGATTAACCATAGTGAATTTTGTCCAGTAACGTGCATTTTCGATGCTGCCACTTTTGGGGTCTATTTTGATCACTTGTGAATTTGGTTTTACACTAGAAGAAGGATCTAGAATCACTCTAAATTTGGTTTAACTTTCAAAATTAATTCAAGTTCCCTCCAATTTTGCATTCCTAATCCCATTTCAATTTTCATAACCTCCACCCAAACCATAATTCTACTCCTAACCAAGAGCCTATTTAAGTGAATTGGCTCTAAACCTCATTATAATTTCAATTTTAGATTTCACACTCTCTTATTCTTGAGAATTTGCCCTCAAAATTCTCTCAACTTTTCTACACTCAAAAACCACCATTAAAGCTCTTTACACTTGAGTTCTTTGATTCTTCATTGGAATCATTAAATTCTAGAGCTAAACCATCATCATTCATCTCCATCATCTTCAATTCATCACTTGATTTTCATTTGTATTTGGATCTGATCTTAGAAGTAAGTTTATAAATGATTCTTGGATCAATTTTGGCTTATTTTGGCTTGTTCTTCACTTCTATTGTAAGAAAGCTCTTGGATCTTGAAAATTTCTTGGGTTTCTAGCTTGGATCTATCAATTTGCAGTAGATCAACACTTACCAAAGCAAATCTCAGCTTTGAAGGTTGGTTAATTCTAGAGTCATTCTTGTCTTGAGCTTATTTGAATAATCACAATGTAGATCTTCAAGTTTTAATTGATTTTGGTGCTTTTGATCTTTTTTATTTGTGATCTCAATGCTTGATTAAGTATGGTTAATGTTTGATCACTGATCTTTTGTGTTAAATTCGTGCATAACTGATTACATGATCATTTGAATGGTTGCACATTGAATTAATTGTTAAAGTGCTTTTGAATTGTTGTTTTTCTGCTCCTGGTGCAGTGTTAATCGATTAACCAGTTGCAGTACAAAAATGGTTATATTGATTAATCAGTGCAACTTTTGAAGTTTTCAAGTGGTTAATCGATTAACTAGTTTCCACAGGCAAATGGTTAATCGATTAACACTGGACCAGAATGCAATTTTGGTTGTTTTCAAGCATGTTTTGATTTCTTTCCACCTCTAACCTTCATGGATTGATATGATGCATTTGTGTGGACTATTTTTGACTTATTTCATCATGCTTGATTGTTTGATCTCGATTTTTTGACGCACGACTTTTGGTTTCCGTTTGAATGCTTAACATGTTCATATTGCTTGATTGATGTGATGATCTTATGCTTTACTTGCTTATATCATGTTAATGATTGATTGTTGATGATCATTTTGCTGGATTATGTGATGCATGTTTACGTTCGCTTTCGATTTCGTTTGTCGCATGTTCCTTTGATTGCATAATTGATTTAAAAAGCATGTTGATCTTGTTGATTCTTTATGATGCAACGTTGTTGAACAATAATGTTTGATTGTTGATGTATGTCCATTCTTGCATGTCAATTGTTCATGAT